AGCTAAATGACCACGAGAAGGCTTATAGGATGCCTCTGTTCCTTAGGTTCTTTATTAGCCACATTGTGATTTAAATAACAGGTGGTGGTTTGCCTCTCAAATAAAGCCTCCAGAAAGCGTGAGCAAGTCCTGTGATTGGAACTGGCCATGGTCTGTACAAATTCTAACCTGAACACCGTCTTTCTCTTCTGTGTGGAAAGGGGCTTAGCATGGCAGTTAAGAAATCCTGGCTGTAACAATAAAGCAGCCCCAAACTGTGTAATGGCCCAATAACATAGAAATGTATTTCTTATGTAACTCCTCCGTGACAGTTTCAGGTCTGTGGAAGCCTCTGATCTACTTAGTCATGCAGAGAGACAGGCAGACAGAGGTGCTAACGGTCGCAATATGTAACTTCTAAGGATTCCCTGAATGCTGGCTTTCAAAAATCAGAGGAAAATATTACAGAGTCTCATGATGCGCCATTTCCATGGGGCAGGATGGAATAACATTCCTCCTAGATTTGTAACTACACCTCAGGTGCATGGCTTCAACTATTTACAAGGGAAGCATGCCTAAGACGTACCCTTGGGACCCCAAAATGAAGGAAAGAGAGAAAGCTTCCTTCTCTTACTGCAGGATCTGCCAAGTGCTGTACTCATTACAGCCATGGCATTCAGCAAATGTCAGATCCTAATCGCAACTGTACCCTATTTGAGTTGCTAATCCTGCTTTCTTACATCTACAGAAATTTGATTGGGGAGGAATTTAAGTTGATACACTCACTGATGCCATTACCAAGTGCTCAATGTTACAAGTGTCTCAAAGTCCAAATGAATACCTTAAAAGATTTTGAAAATGTCTCTTACTCCTTATCATTTTCCTGATTGTAAATTCATATTCATTTTCTTGGATTTACAGAATTACTTATTCTTCCCTGCATTAGTGGTAGTCTTATTTATCTTTTTAAAATGTATTTATTACAGGGTCTATAGGGTCTCACTACAGATTGGACTTGTAGTGATCCTTCCTGTTTTTCAGCCTCCCAAATGCTGGGATTATAGGCAAGCACCACCACACTTAGTCTCAATCCTCCTCTCAGTGCATCTCAGGGGCTGGGCCAGCATGGCAGGCCTAGGATCAATCCCCCAGCCCCTGCATCTGCCTAAGCAGGCACTTTAATCCACTGAGCTATCTGGCCAGCCCCTTATTTATCCTAAAGTTAGTAATAATAGAAAACCAAAATATGTTTTTCTTAAAAGTCTTTATTGATCTAAATCTTACTGGGTTTAATTTTATCATTCCCAGTTTATAGATAGTTGGAGAATCAAATAAGTACATTATATAAATCACCCTTTCTGGATCTATCAGTAACATGGTAGCTTGGTGACAATTGGATCACGTTCCACTGTATAAGCCAAGCAATGATGTTAGCTTTTGTGTCGCTGATACTTGGTAATAGGTTTTGTAGAGGAACGCTATGGGCTCTGCTCCTAAGAATTCCCCAGCATCTTTTATTTCTTCTGTTGCATTTGCAGACCTCTGTTGAAGTCTACTGAGATTTAAGCAAAATCCTAGAGCTTTCTTTATTTGTGTGTAAGTACCAGGACTTGAACTCAGGTCCTCACACTTGTCAGGCAGGTGCTGTGCCACCAAGCTATAACCCTGGACCCAGGACTTTCTGTAAAAAAGAAAAATAGTTTTTTGTGCTGATTTCCTTTGGGGCAGCTGACACATTGGGAGGTGCATCCAGGCTCTGTGACTGATCAGAATTCCATGGCAAGAGAGTCAGGTTCTGCCACGAACTCACAGGGACCCTATTCCCTCAGCATCTGTCTTGTTCTTTTGCCAGTAGCAAGTGTTGACTGGGAGAAACAAATCTCCCAGGACAAAGGCAGCCACAACCCAGTATGGAGAGAAATCCTCATTTATAATCTGCAAAGTCTCCAATGTGTTGCTGAAAAGCCTCCAAGTGTTTTCTATATTTGGATCTGTGGCAGTTGCAGTTAATACTGTTGTGGCCACATAGATGAAGCAGCCCGTTTTATGAACAGGGTAAAATAGGAGGGCCTCACATGTGAGTATGGCTACGCATAATGTATTTTCTGCCATTAGTTGTAGCTCTTGCATAGAGGACAGAAGAATGCAGCCTGATTACAGAAGGTGTCTGTGTGGGATGAGCCCAGGTTACTCCCAGTGAGTCTCCGCAATCTGTGTGGAGATGCAGAACCCAGACAAGGGACACCTTCACTACTTCCCACCATTCCAATGCAAGCTGGGGTCCTACAGTGGCTCTGGGGAAGTCGTAGATGTGTGACTGCCAGGTTGTCTTCACTGACTGTGAGAGACTCCTTGGCCGCAGAGATGACTTCCACCCTACTGAATCCTGGAAACTCTTGCTAATGTCATCATTTGATGTTTGAAATAAAAAGAAATCTATCTAAATTGGGGAACTGTTTGTGCATCATGCCTGTGTATCTTAGAAATTTCTCATTGAATTTAGGACAGAGGAATTATTTCAAGATGAACAAGGCATTTATCCTCCAAACTAAGTTGGTTTGGAGAGTGAATGGGGAATAGGTATAAACTAGCCTTGTCCTGGTCAAGCCAGGTGCTGTGATTGGTTTGATATTTGAGATGCTTTTGATTGTTTCTCTCTTAGTTCCTGAAATACTAACCATGACTTAATGGTTATCTGCAGTATCGCTGGCAACATGAAGGTGGGGGGATCTGTGGGGATCAGTGCTCTGGCAGCTTGGTGATGTTAGAGGTAGAGCTTGCTGCTGCTCTGTTACCAGGAGTTACCTTTCAACCTCACATCAAGAAAGTTACTTTTCTCTTTTCGATTTTCAGACAGTGTGAAAATCAGTCTTCTGGTTGTACATTTCATTGCTTTGCATGTGAAAAACACAGAGCTGACTCTGAACCCCAGGGTAAAGCCTTCTCTCTGTGTGCCACATCCCGCAGTGACATCTTGTTGAAGGCTATGGTATTTTTCATGATCCTAGGTACACCTCACATAGTATATGCCTGTTAAGTTTGAGAAATGACAGTATATGTAATGATAGGGTGCTTATTTTTTAGGGATTTCTATTAAATGCGCACACAATCTGCCTGCAGTATATGAACGTGCCGTGGAAGCACTGGGCCCTGAAAACTGATGGAATTTACAGGCCCAAAGGATGTTCTGAGTACAAGTCCGGTGTGGACTGAACACCACACAGAGGAAGGTGGTAGTTGATACTCAAAGGAAAAGCTGGAGGTGTACAGTATAAGCAGGTTCACCTTTTCCCTCTCATCATGGTGCTAGAGTGTCACAAGGAGAGAGTGTCAGGTTTCAATAAAATACATATACTGATTTATTACTTCACTTGGGAATTAGAACAGTCAGTCAAACAGAATTAGAACAGACACTTCTAGGTGATTGTTCCTGAAGTGATGCCTGTAAGAGAAGCCTGTTAAAAGAGAAACTGAGTACCTGATTGTATGTTGTATTCCAATATAAATTAATTTTCAACTCATGCAGGTAATAGTTCAGGTATTTTGATGCAAAATAATGGAAGATTTCTAGCTAGCACTAGCTATAGTCTAATTGCATGAGGAATTCTATAGAAATTTCTGGTATAATAATCAGAGGATCTTCTTTCTACAATGGAATCAACCAAGGGGAACTCAAAAGCAAGTGTTTGGGCTAGAAAAATGTGTGAGCTGTCCAGATATTTGCTGGTTCTGAATAACCAGACATCTACCAATTCTTCATGATGAATGTAAGAACAAACAGGTACTAATAAAAGTTAAAAATAGAACTAGATTATAGAAATCTGAGGGCTGGCCAAATAGTTCAGCAGATTAAGTGCCTGCAAGCAGGCATAGGGGCCAGGTCTTCAATCCCCAGGCCTGCCGTGCTGGCTGCACACCTGGGGTAAGCTGAGATAGCAGTTGATGTTAGACATGGTGGTACACACCTATAATCCCAGCTCTTGGGAGGCTGCAAACAGACGGATCACTACAAGTCCGATCTAGTAGTGAGACTCTGAATACCCTGCAGACATTTCCCTAAAAAATACAAAAAAGAGAAAAAAATCTGAACTACAGGTCTTTCTTCCATTAGGGATTATTAAAAATGAGAAATTTTAATGGATTAACATTCTTCAATTAGCTGTTATAAATGAATTACAACAGTATTTTCCAAACCATGTTCCCTAGAACACTAGCTTTGTGAATTGTTAAAATATCCTAAGAAAAAAGACTCGTTGTTCAACTAAATTTGCAAAACGTCAGATATTGGACTGAGGAGGAAGCTCAGTGGTCTAAGCACCTGCCTGGCAATCACAAGGACCTGGCTTCAATACCCAGTACCACATGCCCCAACCCACAGGGTGGGAGGGTATGCACTGAGCCAGCCACCAAGACCAGGTGTGGTGGCATATGCCTATAATCCCAGTGCTAAGGAGGCTGAAAACAGGAGGATCACTATGAGTCCAAGTTGCATAGTGAGACCCTGTGCCAAAAAAATAAAAGATAAAAAACCATTAGATGTTATCATTCTTCTTTGAATGCCATTTAAGACTGAAACTTAGAAAAATCAGTAAAACACTAATTAACCTAGTTTCCTGAACTACTTGTTGATAGGTGTCTTTGAAAAACACAGAGTAATATCCATAATGACCAATTTTGAAATACCAAATTGAAGAAAAGTCACATACCTCCAGTTCTAAAATATTACTGAGTTCCTTCAGTTTGGTATGTGCTTATGGTGATGGCCACCTGGCATTTGCAGCTAGACATGTCTTCGTAACTGTTACCTGGCTCCTTCATTGCTCAGTATGTGAGAAAACATAGTGAACAAAGCTTTCAAATTGTTTGGATTTGGGGGGTGACTTTCAGTTGTTCTGGGTTTCTTAGTAGGTGAGTAGTCATTCCATTTGATATGTAGACACATCTACATTTTAGGTGTGTTCAGAAAGGTTAGTGTCAAAGACATTAATGTCCTGGTGGGCTTGTGTTTTTCTCTGAGGCAGATATTGATGAATGCGCAGAGGGCATCATTGAATGCCACACCCACTCCCGCTGCGTTAACCTGCCAGGGTGGTACCACTGTGAGTGCAGAAGCGGTTTCCATGACGATGGGACCTATTCACAGTCCGGGGAGTCCTGTATTGGTAAGCAGCTTTCAGCCACGCCCTCCATCCCCCTGGGCCTTCACAGGACAGACAGGCTTGTTTTGGTACCTCTCCAGCTCTCAGTGTTGAAAAGACCCCTCATTGGTTAAACTCAGCAATATTCAGATTTTCTCCAAGTTTTTCTCCTCTAGAATTTAAAAATGAAGTCAGGGATTATGGTGTGGGGAGCATTAGAACTTTTATATAGAAATGGGCAAAGTCAGAAGAACAATACCTATATGCCAAGGGTGTCTAGTTCTTTCTATGGAAAACTGTAATGACTCCCTGAAATCTCTGACAGTTTAAGAGGCAGCTGTGGAGAAAGGAAATAGCGCTAGAGTTAGATTTGCAAAGTTCTATTTAAATCCCAGCTCTTGTACTTTGAAAGTCGCTGTATCCTATGATCTTTCATCTGGGTTTATATAAAATTGAAGACAATATTACACATATTATAAGAATTAGATGAGGTGCTATATATTTAAAAACCATAAGCTGTGAATTAGTTATACAATGTATGTGGCTGCATTAACCTTTTTCCTGTTGCTGTAGCCCTTATCTCCTGCAGAGTCACCTCTCATTGCTGTTCTGCTGTGGTTCTACTAAAAGTTGAACATGCAGTAGACATCACATGGGGTTCTTTACATTTTACGACCTTGGAACTTGCATGGAATACAAAGAACTGGAGAAAAACATGACTGTTTCTATGGAAACCTTGGCCAATCCAATTCTTTCATGTTGTATGGGCTTATTTGAATTCTGAATGGGGGACAGACCCAGAGGGCAAGTACTCCGACCTGGAATGCAGAAAGTCCATGCGCTGAATCACATTTTGGGATTTGATTTTGAAAATTCTTTTCCTGTGAATTTTGTGCATCTTTTTAGTGTAAAGGTTGCTCCTGAGAGCTAGTTGAGGCTTT